GATAATTAGCGACCTCTCTTGATTGTTAATTAGTGACCCTTTCCAAAAAAAAAAAAAAAGGAAAAAAAAAAGTATTCGCTGTATTCTGAAGATCCAAAGTTAAAAGCGTACACTGGGAGGTTGGTTTTCTTTTACACCATAAGTTTTTTTCTTATTTTTTGTTTATTGAACAGAAGAATTTTTCCGCACATATTTTATTTTTTTTAAAATTGTTAATTTATTTAGGCATATTAAAAAATGTTTTAAGTCGGAGAAAGTTAATTTAAGTAAATCATTGAGACATATGCCATACTTGTTAGGTCAGTCAGTTTATATGCCATGCTTATGTGATACACGCTTAGGCGATCATGTATCTTTTGATACGTGACTGATGAGGCAGATTTTTCCCCGCAGTAGGTTGCCATTTATTTCTGCGGTAGACCAGTCGCCATCCAAGGCTATAGAACCCGGCCTTCCCTGCTATTTACCCATAGCTGGGGGGGGAGAAGAAGAGGATTCATACCTTTCCCAAGGGTATTAGCACGTAAGTGAATGTAATGGATTCGACTGGAAATGTACCGCGCGTGATACACGCTTTCGATACATGATTGACGAGGGAGATTTTTTCCCTCAGTAGGTTGCCAGTTGCCATCAAAGGCTATAGAACCCCCATAGCTAGGTTAGAAGAGGATTCATATCTTTCCTAAGGGAACTGGAACTCGAACTCGGCTCTCCGATTCCTCAGTCTGAGCCGCTATCCATTACTCCACCGTAAATACTGCTGTCCCAGAAGGGTTTAAAAAAAGCAAAGGGAATCAGAGTTGGAATTGGACACATAGTTTCGCACTTATTTCCGACCTGCGATGACGAATCGATGTCGTATATTTTGATTGTCTCAGTAAAGTTGAGACAAATAGATCCAAAATTTTTGGACTGAAAGAAATGAATCAAATCAAGATAGTTATGGTTGAAAATACTAAAGAAAATGAAGTTGAAAGTAAATATTAGTAAAAAATTAATAATGATGTTTGTCAAGGCTTCATTTTCATAAAAATAAAGACGAGAGTAAATATTTATTAAAACTTAATAACAACCATTAGCAATACTTTATGTAATACAAAATAAACATGAAAGTAAATACTAGTAACAATTAATGAACGGCTGACAATGTTTCATCCAATAAAAATGAAGATCCAAATAAATACTATTTAATATGTATTTATAGTATTTAATATTCATTTAATGTTAATTATTCATTTACAGTATTTAATATTCATTTAATATTCATTTACAATATTTAGTATTCATTTACTATTCATTATTCATTTACCATATTTAATATTCATTTAATGTTCAGTATTCATTTACAGTATTTAATATTCATTTAATGTTCATTGTTCATTTACAGTATTTAATGTTCAATTAATATTCATTTGAAATATGTAGTATTCATTTAATATTTATTATTTATTTGCCGTATTTAATATTCATTTAATGTTCATTATTCATTTAAAGTATTTAATATTCATTTAACATTCATTATTCATTTAAAATATTTAATATTCATTTAACATTCATTATTCATTTACGGTATTTAATATTCATGTAATATTCATTATTTACAGTATTTAATATTCATTTAACATTCATTATTCATTTACAATATTTAATATTCATTTAACATTCATTATTCATTTACGGTATTTAATATTCATTTAATATTCATTATTTACAGTATTTAATATTCATTTAACATTCATTATTCATTTACAATATTTAATATTCATTTAACATTCATTATTCATTTACGGTATTTAATATTCATTTAATATTCATTATTCATTTACAGTATTTAATATTCATTTAATGTTCATTATTCATTTACAATAATTAACATACATATTTTATAATATTTTGTGCATATTTGTTTATCTTTATTCGTGATATACAACGAGTTTTCTCATTTTTTCTTTCTTTTTTACTTTTTACTTTAAAATAATTGTTGTTTCGCAAGTGAAAATTCTCGCTAAGAGTTATATATATATATATATATATATATATATATATATATATATATATATATATATATTAAGAACTTTTAATGTATTGCATTTGTTAGATTAATTACATTGTGGCATGAATGATTTTATTCTATTTATATTTAAGCGTAAAATTTATTTCTCTGCTGTTATTTTTACGAAAGTGGTCGTCATTTTCGAAATAAGAGGAACGCATTTTTGTAATGTTTATTTTGTTTATCTTTGACTAATGGCTTTTTATCGTCTATTTCTTTATTATTATTTGTATTCCAAGATTCTCTTATTTGGTATGAATTTTATTCCTTTACATTTTCTTATTTATTACTTGTAAAGTAACGTACTTCCAATTTTGTTGAAAAAGCGTTCCCAGTTTTGATACTAGGCAAATATTAATAATATAATGGCTGACAATGGTTCATCTAATATAAATAAAGACGAATTTGAATACTAGTGAAAAATTAATAATAATGGTTGACAAAGCT